GCTGAGCTGCAACTCCAGACCTGTACCTTGCACTCTTCCCAGTATTGCACAAGTACCAAGGGTGGGGTGTGTGTGGGTGTGTGGGTGTGTGTGGGTGTGTGTGGGTGTGTGGCATGTGTTGGGATGGGAAGTAGAAAATATCTACAAAAAAACAAAGGAAAAAAAAAGAAAGGAAGGCCGTGGTTCTGAAGATCTGGGCTGTTCTCTCCCAGCGGACCCAGTTGCTGTGGGGAATAAAAGTTCCCAGGGGAGATGGAGCAAGGTCTCTGGGAGCTGGAATCTCAAAATGAAGCGCCACCTGGGCTAACTGCCATGGAGCAGGGCTCCCTCTGCGTGATGGATACCGTGCAAGAATCAGGCGTGCTTTTTGGGGTGGGGAGGAGGGGAGAGCGTCAACCCATCTGTTGTATCTGGTATGGGGGTTGGGGAGAGACTGTGAAAGAAATGGCAAGTAAATTACTCCTTCCCCAGAAGGCAGATTTTCAGTTGCACAGATGGACGGTGAAACAAATCTGAATGCAGCCTCATGAATCTTTAGGGGCTTGATGTCGGCAGCCCAAGCCGGGGCAACGCGGAGCCTCCAAAGTAATGCGACCTGAATCAGATCAGTGTCCTCGCACCAGCTGTTCACTGTCAGGATGTCTGTAACAGGATTCAGCCCAAGCCCCACAGGCCTCCCCTTCCTGTGTTAAGGCCAGGATTCATCTTCCAAACTTTTCATTTCAACACCGCCACCTAGTGTCCAACGCTCGGATTTACCAGGTCTCAGGTTATCTCTTCAAGGAAACGCTCTTTAACTCTGTGAATTTGTCAATATTTGCTGCCTTCAAAAGCTATCTCTGACAATTCGTTGAATGAAAAAAAGAAAATTGAAAAACGCTGTGTACTATATAGTTCCATACATGCAGATTTGTGTTCATGTATGCGTGCAAACTTCAATCATATGTCTAGACGCATAAAAATCTGGAAAAACATTCTCTAAATTATTGATGGTTTCTCTGGTTAGTAGGATTTGGGGGAATTTGTTGTGACTTCCTTATTCTTCTTCTTTTCCCGATGGTTGTTTAGCAGTTGGTTGTGGTTTGTTGTAGTTGTGAGAGGTGAGCCTGTGGTCCTGCCATTCCCAAGTTAAGAGTCAAAGGTCCTACACCCCTGAAATCTGCCCGGGGACTCAGCATTCGGACACTGTTTTGAATGCAGGGAGTTGATTAGTTCAGCTCTGGCCTCCAGTCAGCAGTCTCTTCTTGCCAGGCACTCCTGGAATCTCTGGGGCCAATATTCTTTTTCTTTTTTTAAACATTTTTATTGATTTATAATCATTTTACAACGTTGTGTCAAATTCCAGTGTTCAGCACATTTATTCAGTCATACATGGACATATACACACTCATTGTCACATTTTTTTCTCTGTGAGCTACCATAACATTTTCTGTGTATTTCCCTGTGCTATACAGTATAATCTTGTTTATCTATTCTACAATTTTGAAATCCCATCTATCCCTTCCCACCCTCCACACCCCAGCAACCACAAGTCTGTATTCTATGTCTATGAGTCTATTTCTGTGGGACCAATTTTCATCAGGAGAGAAGGGCCCTCATTCTTCCCAAAGACTACGGAGCTCAAAGACGCGGCCTCATTGCCATGGAACCATGTGCTCCTTCTGACTTCCTTATTCCTATACTGACCTCTTCAGTTTTTCATGATAATCAATCATTCTTGTAAATAAGAGGAAAGCTTATTTTAAAACACCAAATGAGCCCCCAGGATGAAAATCCACCCCCAAAAGATTATTTTCTGTAGTTAAATAAATTCAAGAGAAACTTACTGAGCATCAGCTATGTACAATGTATCCTTTTGACCATAAAGTACACCACCAAAGTCAGATAATGGCCTTACCTTTTATGAGTGTTCACTGCATGTTAGGCACCATGCTGAGCTCTTTGCATTCTAAATCTTAAAGTATCCTGGAGGTGGAACTACTGAGGTGAGCATACTGAGGCTCAGAGAGGTTAAGTAACTTACACAAAGTCACAAAGAATATATCAGATTCAAATCCAGGTGTTTCTCCAAAACCTGAATACTCACTGCCCAATTCCCATCCAAGTTTCTAAGAAATTTGCTCACATTATCCACAAGCATGAATAGAAAAGGGGGCTATTTTTTTTAATACTTACTAAGTGTCAGACACCATTCTTTAGTCCTCAGAGAAATCTGCGAAGTACATACTTATTAGAGTACAGCCACCAGGGAGCGAAAGGCCATCTCTACATGATAACTTAATGGCACAGAGATAATAAACAAACAAAACAACAAACGGTGCGCTGAGCACTTGCTGTCTGCCAGGACGTGTTCTGAGAGCTCAGCGTGTGTTGACCAATTTAATGCTCCAAACAAAGCCAGGAGGTAATAAGCGTGATTACCCGTCTCATTTTGCAGATGCAGAAAAGGCTCAAAGGGGTTAAGTGCCTTGCCTAAGACTTAAACCAGAAAGTGAAAGAGCTGGCATTGGAACACGGGTCTGACTAACTCCAAAGCCCACACCCTTCCCTCAGTCTGATGCTTCCCTGGGCTCAGGGTACCTACCAATCAGCTCATATTTCAGATGAATAGTTTAAAGATGAAGCTGCCATCATCCCCACTTTACAGAAGAGGATCAGGGCCCAGAGACCTGAACACGATAATCTTCCATGGGCACTTAGCTATTTGATGAGAACAGAACCCAGGATGCGACTCTCAGCCCCCTTTACTCCTATTCCATGTTGTGACCACTGGATGCAAGTGTATGTTCGCCACAAATGGTTAGTGTATTCGTTTTCTATTGCTGTGCAACAAACTGCCACAAACTTAGTGACTTAAAACAACACAAATTTACCATCATATGATTCTGGAGACGAGAAATCTGAAATGGTTCTCACTGAACTAAAATTAAGGTGTGGGCAGGGCTGTGTCCCCTTGCGGAATCACCAGCAGAGAATCCATTTACTTGCCTTTTCTGGCTTCTCGGGGCTACCCACCTTCTACTTTTCATGGCCCCCCTTCCATCTTCAAAGTCAGCGATGGCTAGTCAGGTGTTTTTCATGTTGCATCACTCTGATTCTTTTTCCATTGTCACATCTTCCCTGACTCTCCTGCCTCCATCTTTTACTGATAAGGAAGGACCCCTGTGATCACACTGGACTCACTTAATAACCCAGGGTAATCTCTCTATCTCTAGATCTTTGACTTGATCATCTCTATCAAGTACCTTTTACTTTGTAAGGTCACATATTCAAGGTTCCAAGGATGAAGACTTGGACATCTTTGGGAGGCCATTATTCTACCTAACATGGCACACAGATCTTTAGGATTTTTACTTATTTAAAGTTATAATTTAAAAAATGTGTACCTATGTAGTTTGCTTTCATTAAATCAGGAATGAGTCCTTGGAGGAAGCTGCTCTCTGGAGTGCCAAGTTCTCCCCTTACAGACAGCAGACCCAGATTTCCTTCTCTGTTTGGCAGCAGGCTCCTAACCCTTAGAGTTCTGAGCTTGGAAGGTGCAATCCCACAGCCACGCTTCCGGACAGTGTGCTGTTTACCGCCATACCGGGGTCCACAGGGAGCTGCCCGTGCCATCTTGCTGTGCAGCTCTTCCTTCATACCCACCATGGCTTCCCATCCTGAAAAGTACCAAGACAGGTCACGGCTGAAAAGTAGAAGGTAGAACCCAGGTGGGTCATATAGAACAAGGAGCAATGCAAGATGAGATAGGTTTGACTAAAAAGGGTCAATGGGAATAAAAAGACTATCAGATACCCATGTAACCAGTACCCCCTGGCAAGATAAAGGATATTTCCATTATCCTGGAAAGTTCCTTCATGTCCTTTCCAATCGCCCTTGTGCTGCCTTGAAGCAACCACCATTCTGATTTCTGTTCCCATCAATTATTTCTTGAATTTCGTATAAATGGAATCATGAAACAGGTACTCTTTTGTTTCTGGCTTCTTTCACTCATATAGTGTTTTTGTATTCATGTTATTACGTTTATCAATAGTGCACTCCTTTTTATTGCTCAGTAGTGTTACATTTGCAAAGATACCAAAATTTTATAAATCCATTCTCCTGGTTATGGACCAATTGTTTCCAACACTTTGCTATCATGATTAAAGCTGCAATAAACATTCTTGTAAATGGAAAGCCACTGGGCTGACATATCTCAAAGGACCCCAGGTAGCAGGACCCCACCTTTTAGCACAGAAGTGGGGAGACCTGGTACATATGCCACTTGAATAGTTGTACATAAGATCTAACACAAGAACACTTCTTGAGCTGGTCCTTAGCTTGCTAGAAGGTAGGGAAGTAACAGAAGCGCAGTAGGACTTTCTGGATGGAGGAACGCAGTTGCTTGTTACACATTCACTATGTGCCACTCATTTGATAGGTGAATCGTTTATCTTCTCGGTAGGAGGTAAAATAATATAAGAATACTTCCTGCCTCCGTGGTATTTTCCATGTGCCTGTCAGTCTTGAGATCATTGAACATGGACTCGGAGGGCTCCGGACTTCTCCAAGGCCAAAAAACAAACTGCAGGTCACTTGCTAAAATCATTTCATTTGGAGTAATTATCTATGACAAACAATTTGACAAAAGAAAGTTTGCAGCAACATGGATGGATCTAGAGGTCGTCATTCTAGGTGAAGTAAGCCAGAAAGAGAAAGAAAAATACCATATGATATCACCCATATGTGGAATCTAAAAAAAAATGACACTGTGAACTCATCTACAAAACAAAAACAGACTTGCAGACATAGTAAACAATCTTATGGTTCCTGGGGAAAGAGGGTGGGAAGGGATAAATCTGGGAGTTTGAGATTTACAAATGTTAGCCATTATATATAAAAATAGATTTTGAAAAAGTTTCTTCTGTATAGTACAGGGAACTATGTTCAATATCTTGTAATAACCCTTAATGAAAAAAATAGGAAAACAAATATATGTATGTATATGCATGACTGGGACACTGTGCTGTACCCAGAAATCGACACATTGTAACTGACTAGACTTCAATTAAAAAAAGAAAACGTAGTTGTTGGAAAGCATGAAGCGCCACATTGCAAAGGGTCTACCATCAGGACAGTTTGGAATAGAGATGCAGGATCAACAGTGTGTGATGTCCCTTAACCAAACAGTAGGCGTAATATATGATGTCCCCAGCATGGACTCCGGAGGCCCCTGGGGATGCTGCTCAGTGTGTTGACCAAGATCCAGGACCTACAGAGGGAAATTCTGAATGGAATGCTGCTGATGCAAGGAACTTCAAAATCAGTATGTTTTTTTCTCCCTAAAACAAGTTGGTATTGGAAGTGCTGGGGGAAGAAATGAGGAAGGAACCAGAAGAAAGGTCTAGGGAAACCAAAGAACCACAGGATATGATGGATGTGCTGGGTGGCTTCTGCTACGGAACTGTGGGTACCTTTATCTGGTATCACATATCTCCTTGACTTGGACAGAAGATAACCCAGACTCGCAACCTGGAGATTCTCCAACACATTTTTCCTAAATTAGACTGGAGATAATGGTAAGCAGGTACTTGAGGATTGCCCAGATTATGGCTCAGGAACGTCAAGTTGGGATGAATGCGTATCTCTCAGTCTGGGAAGTCATGAAAGATGCTATATCATACCACTGATCTAGCATTGGGGTTTTGCTGGGCAGGATGTGGGTGCAAGGAAATGAGAAATCCAAGAGGTCAAACACAGACTCTAAGTGGGATAGGGAAGAGAAAGAATTCAGAGGGGAAATTTTAAGTGATTAAAGAATGAGTTCAGGAGAGCTTGAAAAACAAGTGTGCAGAATTTGAAGATGTAAATTGTGCTCCAAATATAGAATATGGGAATTTGAGACACAAAGGTAGAGAACTTCCAAGTGATTACAAAACACAGAGGTAATATGGGAGTAACTGTTAGACATTCCTTAATTTACCTTTAACAGGCATTGGCATGAGGAAATGAAGAAACTGTGAAGTTCGAATGTAGGTCATTCATCTTCATGGTCACGGCTCACCCAAGAGATGGAGGAAATTGGGTGGGAAGAGGGCAGCCGGATGTCAAAGTCTTTATTTATTTATTTATTTTTTACATTTTTTATTGATTCATAATCATTTTACAGTGTTGTGTCAAATCAAAGTCTTTAATGAGGACTGGGGAGTGACTGGGAGGCAGGACTGGCTACACCAAGGGATTGAGGGCATAAAACTAAGATGAAATAGGAAGATAATAAAATAAAATATACAGTTGCACTGTTGGAAATAAATTTTATTGCTGTGAGAAAAATCACAAAGGAATTATTCCATTGGGCCAAAACTGAAATAATACTGTTGGCAACAAATTTTATTGCTATGACAAAAAAAAAAAAAAGAAACTCACAAATAGTTATTAATCACATCATCACATCAGGGAAAAGATTCCTGGAAGGTGTTATACTTCTGAAGGAAATAGTCAGATTTTTCAAACTTAATAGTTTATTCTTAAATGTAAATCATCCTCAATTTAATGTAGTAGAGTGACCTTTTAGATAACAAATTTGTGCAGTGTTTTTTCTCTTTTTCAGCCCATAAAGTACCAGAAAACTGCCCTCGCTTCACTGAGAAAGCTTCCCCTCAGAAGGGAATAGGACAGCCTAGATTCACTGAATATAGTCACTGCTTCAGAATTTGGTGTGGATACGTTGGAATCTCCTGGCAAATCATCCCTAAAAAGGTGAGTTACCCTCACGGCACTCCACGTACCAAGTGTCCCATCCCTTAGAAAGACTTGATCGGAAGGGGAAATGTTCCATTTTGAGGACTGAAAATTTTAAAACTGCTTGACCCCTAAAAGTTGGGACCTCTGGGCAGGCGAGGAAGTCAGTAGCTCTGGACTGGACTTTTAAGTGCTGACATCTTAAGAGATGACCGTGTGTAAACCCAGATGCTAAGCACTTGGACTGCAACACGCCTGGTCAGCTCCAGCAGGCTGGCCTCGTTCATTCTCCATCAAAGCAGCACATCGTCTGTGGACATGTGGGTCAGCTAAGGCCTCACTCGGAAAGGAGGGGCATCCTCCGGCGGACTTTGGAGGACCAGCTTCTCTGCAGTTACACCATATGTTGGGGAGAAGAAACAACAGAGGCTAATGAATCAGAGACAGTGCATCCTGCCTGGGTACAGAAGCTGGATGAAGGCCCCCCGCCCAAACGTTAGGAATTGCTGAAGCCGCCTTGGGTCTTCAGGGAATTTGGGGGAATAGGGAGAGCCCCTCAAAAGAGAAATTCTTACTAATAGGACTGTGAGTGCTCGTGTAATTCATTAGTAAAATAAATATGACATAGCTGTGCCCCCATTTATGGAGCAGCTTGTATCTGTGACATTAACAATGACAAGTCACTTGAGGCTTCCTTTATTTTGGGATCGCCCTCTTTCACTGTCAACAGCAGAAGCCGCTGGGTGTCTCAGGATAACAAGGGAAGTAGTGAGAATGACACTTGAAATAGCCGAAGCGTACCCCAGGAGCAGAGCCTGCACCCCAGAGGACAGTGGGCCCCAAACATTATCAGAGGGGCGGTCAGGGCCTTATGTGCACCCAGCCCTGCCCGCAGACACTCTGCCAGCGGCTCTGTGACCCCAAGGCTGGTGGCTTCCTCCAGAAGAGGTCTCCGGTCAGGTCTGCTAATCTATTTGTGGACTTCAGGTCACCCAGGGCTTTTTGGGTTGTTTGTTTCAGGTTTATGGGGTTTTTTTTGTTTTGTTTTGTTTTTTTTAAGCTGTAGATAAAGAACTCCATCTCTCTCTCAGGGTTTAATGTAGCAGCACATTAACTCTTCTGGCTGGCATTTCTAATAGTCCCCTGGGTAGCAGGCCTGTGCCTGGGAAGCAGCCAAAAACTGAAGCTCAGAACTAATTTTCAAATTCCCAGAGACTGGAGACACTCTCTGGCAGGCCTGAGAGCTACCAAATCAAGCACTGTCAAGTGGTTGCTCTTGAGTGTCAGCCCTGTTTCTCCTTTTTTAATTGAAGTATGGTCAGTTTACAGTGCTGTGTCAGTTTCTGGTGTAGAGCATGATGCTTCCGTATACATACATATATTTGTTTTTATATTCTTTTTCATTATAGGTTATTATAAGATATTGAATATTGTTCCCTGTGCCATACAGTAAAAACTTGTTGTTTATCTACTTTATATATAGTAGTTGTTAGTATCTGCAAATCTCTAACTCTCAATTTATCCCTTCCCACCCTCTTCCCCACCTGCTAACCATAAGTTTGTTTTCTATGTCTGTGATTCTGTTTCTGTTTTGTAAATAAGTTCATTTGCCTTTTTTTTTTAGAGTCTACATATAAGTGATATCATGTGGTATTTTTCTTTCTCTTCCTGGCTTACTTCACTTACAATCTCCAGGTCCATCCGTGTTGCTGCAAATGGCATTATTTTATTATTTTTTATAGCTGAGTAGTATTCCATTGTATAAACATACCACTTCTTCTCTATCCAGTCATCTGTCAATGGACATTTAGGCTGTTTCCATGTCTTGGCTATTGTAAATAGTGCTGCTATGAACACTGGGGGGCAGGTGTCTTTTTGACGTAGGGTTCCCTCTGGGTATATGCCCAGGAGCGGGATTCCTGGATCACATAGTAAGTCTATTCCTAGTCTTTTGAGGAATCTCCACACTGTTTTCCACAGTGGCTGCACCAAACTGCATTCCCACCAGCAGTGTAGGAGGGTTCCCTTGACTCCACAGCCTCTCCAGCATTATCGTTCATTCATTAAGGCTCTGTCATGAGACTGCAGCCACTCAGCCACAGCTTCAGGCCCCACTTCGAATTCTAGTTCTCTTGCTGTTTCCACCACATTTGCAGGTATTTCCTCGTTGACATCTTGAACCCCTCAAAGTCATCCAAGAGGGTTGTGATCAGCTTCTCCCAAATTCCTGTTAGTGTTGCTATTTTGACCTGATGGCAGGAATCATGAATGTTCTTGATGACGTCTACAGTGGTGAATCCTTTCCAGGGGGTTTTCAGTTAACTTTGCCCAGATCCATCAGAGGAATCACTGTCTATGGCAGCTATAGCTCACAAAATGTATTTCTTAAATTATAAGGCTTGAAAGTTGGAATGACTCCTTGATCCATGGGCTGCAGGGTGAATGCTGTGTTAGCAGACATTAAAACAATGTGAATCTCACTGTGCGTTTCCATTAGAGCTCTTGGGTGACCTGGTGCATTGTCAATAAGCAGAAGTATTCTCAAAGGAATTTTTTTGGCGGGGGGAACGTCTCAGCAGTGGGCTTAAGAGTCAGTAAAATATGTTGTAAACAGACCTGCAGATACCTGGCTTTGTTGTTCCATTTACAGAGCACGGGCAGAGTAGATCGAGCCTAATTCTTAAGCGTCCTAGCATTCTGGGAATGCTAGATGATCACTGGCTTCGACTTAAAGTCAACTTAAAGACCCCTAACAAAAGAGTCAGCCCCTCCTTTGAAGCCTGGAACCCAAGCAGTGACTTCTCTCTAGCTCTGAAAGTCCTAGATGGTGTCTTCTTCCAGTAGAAGGCTGACTCACCTACATTGAAACTCCGTTGCTTAAAGGAGCACATTCAAGAATTATCTTAGCTGGATCTTTTGGATAACTTGCTGCAGCTTCTGCTTCAGCATTCACCTTGCACGTGGTTGTGATGGAAACGGCTTCTTAAACCTCACAAACCAACCTCTGCCAATTTCAAACTTTTCTTCTGCAGCCTCCTGACCTGTCTCAGCCTTCATAGAATTGAAGAGTTAGGCCCTTACTCTGGGTTGAGCTTTGGTTTAAGGGAACGTTGTGGCTGGTTTGATCTCCTACCCAGACCACCAGGACTTCCTGCATATCAGCAATAAGGCTGTTTCGCTTTTTTATCATCATTGGTTCACTGGAGTAGCACTTATAATTTCCTTCAGGAACTTTTCCTTTGCATTCTTGGCTAACTGTTGCAAGAAGCCTGGCTTTCAACATGCCTTCCTCACTAAGGTTAATCATTTGTAGCTTTTGACTTAAAATGAGAGATATATGAATCTTCCTTTCGCTTGTACCGTTAGAGGCCACTGTAGGGTTATTAACAGACCTAATTTCAATATGTTGCATGAGGCCCAAGGAGAGGGAGACACGGGAATGGCTGGTCTGTGGAGTAGTCAGAATACACACACTTATTAATTACTTCCACCGTCTTATTTGGGCACAGTTCATGGCGCCTGAAACAATTACAATAATCACATCAAAGATCGCTGATCACAGATCACCACGACAAATACAGTAATAATGAAGTTTGAAATATTGTGTGAATTACTAAAATGTAACAGAGACATGAAGTGAGCAAATGTTGTTGGAAAAAATGGTACAGATAGATTTGCTTGTGCAGGGTTGCCACGAACCTTCAATAAAAAAAAAAGAAAAAAAACGCAATCTCAGCAAAACACAAGAACACAAAGCACAATAAAATGAGGAATGCCTGTACATTTAATCCAACAGCTGGACTAGAAAAATGACGTTCTACAGGAAAGCCTGCAGATGTGTGTCTGCGGTACGGGCAGATCAACAGCAGCAATTTCTGGAAAAATAAGATGTGGGTGGGGGAGGTGGGGGTGGAGGTGCACAGGAGTTGGTGATGGTGGTGATGGTGGTGGTGTGTCTGTGTGTGTGTCCCCTCACGTAAAGGTGCACACACTGGACTAGCAGGCTTTTCATGTGGACCGGGGTGGATAAGGTCCCACACAGGACCACAAGACCAAAGTCAGGATAGGAATCTGAAAGACCGTGAAATACTCAGGCAAAAGTCGAAAAGCACTGTCACCAAGCAGAAACAGAGCAACACCCGGGGTCAGGGAAAATGGGACTCCAAACTCCAGCTGCTAACTCTTCAAGTGCTCCCCATCTCGCTTGGTGTCTACGAGCTGGCCTCCACGCTGGGCAGGCTGTGAGCGGCTGATGGAGTGATGACTATGTGGCACCACCTGAATGCTCGTTATGGTCAGTTGGAGCCAATAATTGCTCAAATGGCCTATGTTTTTTCCTTGATCTCATTTCTCTCCCCTTTCCAGTTCCTTCTCCAGAAGGGCCTGCACTTGCAGATTGCTAGAAGAGGACAATATTTAAAGCAGGAATAAAGTGCAAGGAAAAAGAAAGAAAGAAAGAAAGAAAGAAAGAAAGAAAGAAAGAAAGAAAGAAAGAAAGAAAGAAAGAAAGAAAGAAAGAAAGAAAGAAAGAAAGGAAGGAAGGAAGGAAGGAAGGAAGGAAGGAAGGAAGGAAGGAAGGAAGGAAGAAAGAAAGAAAGAAAGAAAGAAAGAAAGAAAGAAAGAAAGAAAGAAAGAGAAAGAAAAAAGGAATAAAGTTCAGGATGAAAGAAAGCACTGGGACAAGAAACTTTGGGAGATTAAACCCTACAGGTAAACGTTTGCTCTTCAGAAGGGATTTCACTCTTGACATACCACATCTGTATCACCAGACTTCTGAAAACATTCTTTATGAAAAGACTATTGGAGAACTGCATGCTCAGCATTACCTAATTTCCTCATAAATCTCTGGCCTTTTAATCAGCTAAGTGGCTGTCCACTGAATTTCCCTGATTTATTGGTATCTTTCGGGGACTGAGGTTACGTCCAGATAACTAAGTGATTAAATGGGGATGAAAATGGCACATCACCGTAATTATGACAGAACAGGCTCGTGACTCTGCATACAGAAGACCTCGCAGAGATGCTCCAGATGCACAGAGGCTCCAGAACTACAGAGAAAACTGCACCATCCAGCTGGTTTTTACAGGAAAATCTTCCCAGTTCCTCTCGCTGGGGGTGCATCCCCATCCGCTGACTCAGCACTTCCACAAGAACCACGGCCCCTCTCAGGACTCGCTGTTTCAAGAGGCAGCGGGGACTTCAAGCTGCTGGCTGAACTGAAAGGAATCCTGGATTCTGTTTTCACTTTAGTCACCAAACTCTGTGACCCACAAAGGATGTTTCAGCTTTTCTGAGACCCGCATTCTTCCAACTGTTAATCAAAAGCAATCCCTGCTGAGGACAGTTATCATCATACCTTCTTTTAAAACAAAACCCTGGGAGCTCGAGATTTGCAGATACTGACAGGTATATATAGAATAGATAAACCAGTTTATACTGTAGAGCACAGGGAAATATATTCAAGATCTTGTAGTAGCTCATGGTGAGAAAGATTATGAAAATGAATATATGCATGACTGAAACATTATGCTGTACACCAGAAATTGACACAACATTGTAAACTGACTATACTTCAATTAAAAAAAAAACCACTTTGGTTTAACAGAACATTATGGAGGTGCTATAAAATGAAAGATTATTGTTTTTAAGTCACAGGTCTTTTTTATAATTATTAAAGCGCCACCTGCTGGAAATACCGAGACTACATGTCAATTCTCTGAGACACCGGTTATCAGAAAGGTGAGAAATGCTAACTGCTGGTCCACAGAAGAACCTAGATTTAAAATGCAAGTAGTAAAAATGGCACCTGCAAAGCCCTCTCTTCTCCCTGTGTTAACTACAGTCCAATTGTGCGATTTGTTACGGCTATAAAACACTAGGGAATGATTTAGCCATTCTATTATATTATTCAGCAGGATTTTTTTAATGGTGCGTCTACAAAAAATATTGAAAAATCAATATTGCTCTAATAGGCTGAGAAAGAATTTATAGGCGGTTCTCAGCTTAAGGATGTGTTGTGTTGCAAAAGCTTGTGTGTACACCAGGGGTCTGAAAACACAGCTTCCGTGGCAGTGGTCTTATGCAGGCTGGCTAGACTCCTAGTCTTCACAACTTATTTAAACCAGGATGCACAGCCTTGCAGTCCTAACTACTATATAGTTGCTGAATGCCATTCATAGCATTGCTTCTTTGGAACACTGAAGTCTGACTTTTAATTTGGGTGGAATTCCTCTGCCCCTTTCCAAAGGGAGCAGGCAAGGGGAAACACCAGGATTAAGGGTGATGGGGAGAAAGAGCAGAGAGGGGTAGGATGACTTACTCACCACTGCATGTATCTGCATGAAAGGCCTTACTTGAGATCAATCTCCCCATTAAACGTTCTCAGCTGGGACCAAAGACAAAGTTCACTTAATGATACCCAAGGAGTGAGATGCCCAAAGAACTAGAAAGATGATAATCCGTGGCGAGGAGGGCCAGGCAAATGGTAAGCACTTCAGTTCAGTAACTGCTACGAGGGAGCTGTGAACAAGAAGGACCCTGGGAACCCAGGGGAGTGGGGACCCATGACATTTGAGCTCAGCCTCGACAGACACGTGGGATGCAGTCACCGGAGATGCTCTACTGCACCACTGTCCCCATGTATACAGGTTTATTCTTAAGCAAGATATTTTTACGAAATAATCAGTATAGTAATCAAACTGAAAGTCTCCCAAAAAGCCACACACGTTAACATAACCTTTTCCTACTCGTTGACAGTTGTTAACGGTAAGGAGAGAAAACCAAACATCAGTTTTAATTGGCTGCAGGAAAGGAAAGTTTATTTCACTCAAGAAAAGTTTAAAAAAAAAAAAACCCATGAAGGCAATTCAAAATTTTTAAATGTTTATTCTGGCACATGATCTGGGAGTCCACTCTGATTTCCTCTCCATTTCGGCTCAGCCCCAAATAGAGCTGCTTCACTGTAAGAAGACATGATTCCGAAAAGTTGGATATGAAGCAATCAAATACATTAAGTCACTTAAAATCCACAAGGGGAAGTAGGCAGTCAAGGAAACCACACAGTAAGTATATTTCCATGAAATCAAAATCTTCTAATAATTTGAAAACTTACCCTCAGTTTCTTTATATTTTTTTACCAAAAAAAAAGTTTACGTATAGAGTTTTTGTCAAGTGCATACTGGTAGCTGATATCATAATGATGCTACATAGCAACACTCTGCACTGAAGTAGTGTCATAAAAATCTCACGGCACGTTGTTTGCTAAGAAGTAGCATAGAAACCATTGGGAGAAGTTTCCTAGTACACCGTCCTCCACCTTACAGCTTCCATGGTACTCACGCTCGTATCTCAAAATTTCTGTCGACATGTACAGTCAGTCACCAGACCTCATCTGGTGGCCTAAAGGCCATGAGGCTTGTGGACAATTTTCAGCAGAACAAAACTCAGATGCCTCCAACTGAGGACACCTACTCTAAAACCTCCCTGGGCTGCCCCTCCTGCTGACCACCAGCCAGCCTGGACAGCCCGCTTCAGGCCCTTTCCTGAGGCTGGCACACACCTGGGTATGTTGCCCCATCCTGCTTCCCCACTTGTACCTGAGATCCGGTGTGGGCCCCGCACCTTGTGTCCTTGATGCTAACAAGCACTGGTCCTCAAACACACAGAAACATAATCCTGGCCACAGCTTCTGCTCTATTTTGGTATTTCTGTTTTTGAAGCATGATTTTGTATTCCTTTGTACCTTTGTAAAAATCTAACCACTGGATCCAATCCAATGCTACAGGGGGTTCACTCTTGAGTCTGATCATTTTCCAAGTGTCCCCTCAGCAGGCTGCCGGCTCTGCTTTTATCCAGGTGGCAGCTCCCAGCTTCTCAGGAAGCCTCGGGTGTACGTGTGTCCCTTCTTCTCCAGCTACAAGACCACGGAGTGGGTCTCCTGGAGGTTCTCCTCAAGCTTCAGTCCCAGGTTGTCAATTCCAATGCTGGTGACGGGCGGGACACTGCTCTCAGCCGGCTCTGCTGTGCGCGTTGGGGTGGAGCAGTACAGAGTGAACCCCACCATGATGACGGTGAAGGACAGGATGTAGAGTCCTGAAAACTAGGAGGGGAGAACAGGCTATGGAAGGGCTCCCTCACATACACATCTTTGCTGCTGCCTTCTGCCAGCTGGGCTTTGAGGGTTCCCGTCCCAGAATCTTTTTTTCTGACAGTTGCCCAAGGAGATGCTAATGACCAAAAACCATCCCATGGGTGTGCACTGGTGTGGGCTCTGCCAACATCCCCCAGCCCATCAGCCAGCCGGATTCTTGAACTCTAGGAAATGGATTTTGTCTTTCTCTGTGATAATCTAGCCACACCCCAACTCGCAACTGGTCCCCTTTACTTAGAGGAGAGACAAAAGGGTCACCATGGTACCATGAGAGACCCCGAGTCGGACCCTAGGCACAGCTCACAACACAGGAACACAGGCTCTATGATAAAATGTGGGTTCACAGATGGGACAACTTCTCAACAACCCCTCTTATGTGCTGCTAGTCAAAAAAATTCATTCAGTTAAAATGTAATCAGTTGTCTCTATAGGCAAGTGTTACACAGTAAAATTTATGATGTAACGAGCAGATTTAGATTTTTTGAACTGGAAAGATATTTTTCAGATGAGTCTGAAGCCCAAAGAGGTGACTGGTGGAAGGTCCAGTAGGACGACCCCAGGGAGTGGAGCCCTGCGGGAGGCATCTCCTACCCGCTCTGCTCCCAGAAGGACCGATTACAGCAACAGCCCATTCTGACAGACACAACACAAGGACGCAGGGAACTCCTGCTGACTCTCCCCAACCTGCCCTTCTTTAGGATGGAAAACAACCACCCAGGGCAAAATGCAGTGAAGACAGAACACTAATTCATGGTGCATTTTTAACTGAAAATGACATTCTGACATATCCCAAAGTTTAAGTAAAGAATATTAAGTACTCTGTATATTTAATTGTATGTGAACTGAGGATCCAGACCAAAGTTCAAGTATTAAGAAAATAAATATTTGTTTCCAACAGCACAAAAAATAAAACACAGAAAGAGAAACAGCCAGACTGAGCAAGAACAGTGCAGTAAAAAATTAGGAAAACTGTGTAGCATAATTAATGCATAATTAAATGCTCAGGATTTTTCTGGGAACAAGCAAATCCAATTTATGAATGATCCTGCTAATCTAATTTTAAAATTAAGAATGGGGCATGCTATTTTATTCAAGCCAATAAATATTTTAAAATTAACGTAGACCTCATACTATGTCCGATACAAAGAGTTCTTAATAAGGGGATGACAGAAAAAAAAAAAAAAGAAGGAGTTGAAGAAAGAGAAGAGAAAGAAGATTAAAGAGAGAGAAAAAGCATGAAATACTCCCAAAAGTAGGAAAAACTAATAGGTTTTGAAATGAGTATCAGGTAGACTGCTGGTCACCTCCAGCCGTGGGCGTCTGTGGGTCACTGTTGGCGTCAATGTGTTAATGTTTTATAGGTGCTTGATTACTTCTTAACCTTAAACCTTCAGAACTTTTTAAGGAGTGGAAGAGAAACAGCCCTCCCCAAGGCCAAAGGCCTCCACCAGAGTCAGTGATGGTGCAAAGCCACTGATAATGCCGAGCAGAGCCAGCAGCCAAACTGACTTCCCCTACGGGCTCTCATTCTTGGGTCCAGTCTCAGTACAGCACCCAACACACGGCTGGTATTGACTAAATGTTTGCTGGGAGGAAAAATGATTCAGAGAAGACTAAGGGAAGTGAAAGGTATTTAGAGTGCCCTAAAGTTTTAAAGTCAAAACCAGGAACGTCAATCATGCTCTCCTACAGAATGTTCGCTGTCACCTGTGGGAAGACCTCAGTAACTTATTCAAAACATGTCCTGTTTGGTTAGACGGTTTTAAGTGTTTATAAGAAAGTGCATCTTGTTCCTCTTAAGAAGACAGGTGATTAAACGGAGGCACATTTATTGGAAGAGAGAGACTCTGAGGGAGTGAGGTCATAAGTTTCCTGACTTAGAGGCTCTTATCTTTTTCTTCTTTTAAAATTCTACCCTTTGCATCTGGATCTATGTGGCTACTCTGTTCAATGAGTATTTACTCAAGATCAATCCGGAGAAGGCAGAGGCTAACACTAATGAATGCAGAAACGTTTAACCTCTTTTTCAACTGCTTGTTTTGAAATATCAGAGCCAAGGTTATTTTAGATACTACATTTTTTTTAAATCGGTGGTATATTGGGCTGATGATTCTGTCTTTAAAAATCACTTCTAAGATTCTAACTATCTTCTTTATGCTCTGAATGGTTTCCCACCTCTGTAATTTACTCTGAGGATCACGGCAGACCTCCTCTTTACAAGTTTTGAAACAGCCTTTGGGCAAAAACAACAAAATCTGACTTGAGTTAAGAGTGAGCTTCTAGACCTACAGGGACAGACACAAAGCAAAGGAACTGCAGATGAATTTACAGTTTGCATGTTCCAATTTTGAGAATAATGGTATAAAGTCATGTGGCCAAAAAATGACACCCAAAAAGGCCTTTTCATATTAAAGTTAAGGGCAGTTAAAGAGCAAATATCTACATTAAGGGAGCTTGCAATAGGTAATGACAAGTATACTTTCACTTTGAAGCTTTTATTCCTTTAGCCTTACTTCATTCTTAGATATTATTTTACTTATGAGGGAAAAGTAAAAATTAAACTACTAAAGCTAAATCAATATGTGTAGTTTAAAAAAAAAAAAAGCACAGGTGAGCAGAGCCACATGTTACACGGCAGAACTCTCAAGCATCCTTTGGGTGTGGGTAGCTGTCAACTGGCCTTGAACTGCAGAATAAAAATGCCATTGCCCCCTAGTGGTGGTGATATGAAATGCAAGAACAGCACCACAGAACAGCAAGAGGTATTCTCATGGGGAAAAAAAAAATCTAGGTCTCTCAGGATCACTTCTCTGCTCTGATTCACTTTGACATTTGTTACTTTTTAATGATGCCGCCAAAAAGCTATAAATACTTCTTCGGTCTTAGTTCAGGGAATACCTTAACCAGCAAGTTTGCAAAAGTAACAGCTGGTTCCTGTGATATGCAATCTTACAAAGCAAAAATGGTTTATGCTTCTTAAGCAAAAATTTCTGAGAACACACCGATCTAGGCATTATGAGGTCATGGCCAATTCCTGGGAACAGTGTAAACCAGTGCCAAGCAATTTCTGCCCAGATACAAAATTGTATAAGGAAAAAATAAATAGTTTCTAAAATGAAAATTGTCAAGCAATAAGGCAACATTCTAACTATTTGTTCAAAAGACTGTAATAGCAGGCAGGTCAACAAGCTCTATACCAAGGAAAGATGGATTTCTAAGGCAGCAGTCCTCAAAGCAAGACTCTTATAGCAGGGAGGGTATAGCTCAGCATGCATGAGGTCCTGGGTTCAATCCCCAGTATCTCCATTAAAAATAATAATAAATAAATAAACCTAATTACCTATCACTCCCCTCGAAAAAAGACTCTTATCATAACACTAAGATGTCATCTGCCCGGAGTGAGGGTGTCCAGTGAAATTCTTGCCAAGATGAGGTTTTAATTTGGGATCTAAAATCTTAAATCTGTTACATCTTTCAGACCAAACAAGTGTTCTTCACTGAGCAACGTCTGTTTGCTTACCTTATAGCCAAACATAAAGAGGCCAAAGAAAAGACTGTAGAGGTCAGCCGTCAGGATGCCCAGGTTGACAGAAGTGGCACTAGTGACCTTAATCACCAGTGGCATGAAGCTGTACAGGCAAAACATACAGACGGCAAATGCCACAAAGAGCAGGGCTGCGGGGGAAATGGAATATCCAATGTTACCGGAAGAAATCAAAAGACAAAGGTGCTTTTAAGGCTTGGCTGACACATAAAATTCCCTGATCCTTTAACACGTAATCCACAAAGCCCCTTTGTTAACAGTACACATTGCAAATGAGACTTACAAAGCTCTGGAGAGAGGAGGTAATAATAATGAGATGTGATGTAGATGAAGAACTTAAAAAATCCAACAGAGTGTTAGATGGTCAAGGCCATAAAAGCTGGCTTGTGTGTGAGTAAGTCAAAGCTCCCATCACCCCATGCTCTCCACCTGCCCAGGGCAGAGAGATGCCTATGACAAAAGACCAATGAAAGCAGAATCAGAATCAAAAAACAAAAACAAAAAACAACTCGTTATCCTTTGTTGGCTTTTATCTAGTTGGCTGGTTGGATGTGATCTGTGTGACTGGATTCAGCATGAAGCATTTTTAGGGCATCAAAGGCAGATGTTAGGTCCATATCTTTGGTTCATTTCATGAAATTCAGTGCTCCCAGACAGCACGACACAACTGTCCTCTTCAGGACAGAGCTTGTCATCCAGGTGCTGCCACCTAAGGTTTGCAACCACTTCTCCAGGCTCACTCAGCACAAACACACACACGCTCGCGCGCGCGCGCACAATCTAATTTATTTACTTGAATTAAATCATCCAAGCCTGGTAAATGAACTCAATGACACTTAATGTGCTTCTTAACTTCTTTCCACCCATCGTTAAATAAGGTTCAAATCCTTCCTAACTGCCCCAGCACTGTTTTCCTCCGTGTTACTTATCCATGCAGATGCCCAGGACGAGCAGATGAGAGCAGCAGAGGAAGGCGGTGCTAACTACACACCATCGGATTGTCCAGGTTAATACTTCACAAATTCTGCCAAGCAGACGAACTCCTCATGAAATCTGAGGCCATGAAATACAGGCCTAGTTGAGAGCTAACGTGACCAAAGGCCAGTCTTGCTCAGAACTCCTAGTAAAGAAAGGCCATCCCTGAAGGTGAAGATTAAGGATTAACTTTTATGGGGGTTCATTTACAAGTTTGCAGAGGAAACTCAATGTAAACCACCAAGCTCTCTGTGTACTGAATTCCTCTGTGATTTTACAAAAATACCTAAATCGTATTATTAAAATGAAGTATCTGTCTCTTGATGTATGTCAGAGAAAGACTAAAAAAAGAATTATTATGCATGTACATACCAATTTTCCAGTCCCAGGGAATGCTGCCAATATCTTTATATTCCACAATCAATCTGTAATGAAAACAAGAGGTCACAGAGAGATCTTTACACTGATTTTCATTATCTTATAAGCAATTAAGTTGCTTCGAGCTTTAAGTACTTCAGTCGGTGATGAATTATGTTGACTTCTGAATTTTTTCTTAGAGTATGAAAGTAACTATCTTTAATTAAAATGACAAAGAATAAAACCAAAGGAGTCCTTAATAAACACGTTTGACGCCCTCAGAAACGCCCTTCAGTCGTGGTCAGCTACAGGAGGAGAACTTGATCCTATGTGTCCCCTTTGAATAGGAAGTTAATACTTTCCAGGAATAACTGAAAAAGAAAGTCTTCACTGGTCATGTGAAGCCTACCCCGACGTAAGCAGGAGCCTTCGGCGTCCCACACGTGTCAGAAAATGAGGCATAACTGACGTTTCAACGGCCTTCTAATAGGTATTTAGCAAGTTAACTGATTTCACCAAATCAGGTTTGGGCCAAATAAGCGATATCAGTAGTTGGAAGTTAATCATCTATGATATATTTGCTTGTTTTGTTTGTAAGGAAAAGTTTGGACTCTTACAGCTGTATGCCACTGATTATTGTTCCGAACAAGCCCACCATTCCTAAAAACTCCTGTCTGCTCAGCTTCTTCACGATGTACTCTTCACACACATTGGACACGGCGTAGAGGGAGGCCCCGAGGAGGACCAGGATGTCACCGATCAGCACATCACTACCTGCAGGGGGACAAGCCACAAAAAGGGACACACCGTCACTGGGGGACACTCTCCAGCTGGCTTCCAGGAGCTGACTGGCTCACGTTCATTTAAATAAGATTTTACAGAAGGTGAAACCCTGATTTTTAGAGACTCTTGCTTCTCTCACTTTCTGGCACAACGCAGCTGTGATTTTGCTTTTGATTCCTCAGGAGACGAACAGACTGGAAGATGGTGGTGTGCACCGTAATGCAAGGCCTCAGAAAATGATTCTACGACATGAGAAAATAATGGGACTTATTGAATGGGAATTCATTGAAACCATAGGAAAGTAAGCTAGGGGAGCAAGGTAATTTTCTTAATCCAAGGAGACACTGAAGTCACTTGACTGAATTCACAGGCCTTATTTAGATTTTATGCTATCAATTGTCTGAACTTTGACATAAAGAATATCAGAATGTTCTCATCTACAGAGTGACTCAAAGAGAGATCAGTCATTTAGTGACCACAAAGTCTCCTTTTTTTTTAATTTGATTAAAAATTTTTTTTTACTTTTGGGGGGCAATTAGGTTTATTTATTTATTTTTAGAGGAGGCACTGGGGATTGAACCCAGGACCTTGTGCACGCTAAGCATGCGCTCTACCACCTGAGCTGTACCCTCCCCTCGCAAAGTCTCCTTGATAAAAACAAAAAATCGAGAATCTACGGTAGCTTTTCCAGCAACTAAAAGAAGGAGTCAAAAGAATATTATTGCAAATATATAGGGAAACCTGTCTCTCATGACACAAACTATTTAGTGTGACCAAAAAAGGCGGCAAGGACAGCGGGCAGGTAGCAACATAAAGACTGCTTTGTGGCGGTGGTTACAGGACCAGAAGCAAGCAAATCGAACAATAAAAATTTTAAAGATGGTTAATCGGGACGTGTTTTCTGCCTTTTGCTATCTGTTTGCAAAATAACCAAGTGAAGACATGAGCATAGCTTTCTCTGCAACCAAACCGGACCCAGGTAACCCAGTCTTACCTGCACTGTCCTCCCGCCCTGCTAGCATGTCTGCACCAACCATGGTTCCTACGCCCAGCAGACAGACAGCCACAGCGATGAAATGGATCACTCTGTATCTTGCATAAAGAATAAACCACGAGAGAGCCATCAGCACAGGAATCCCAAAGCAATCCAAAAGCTGCGTGGAAGGAGAAATAAACAGCTTAAAACATCTCTTGTTAGCTAAAAAGATGGGTGATTCAGTGATAACAGGAGTCAGTGTGTATTAAGCATTTATTTTATTGCCAGCCCTGTGCTAATACTCTGCCTGGATTAATTCATTTAATCTTCACAACAATTCCATGAGATTGGAACTACAGTCTCCATCTCACACACGAGGAAAAGGCACAGAGAGGCTAAACGCGTTGCCCCAAATCACACAGCTGAAAGTGGGGGAGCCAGTTAGTGAACCCAGGAATTCCGCCTGACAGCCTGTGCAGTTTACCTCCACACTCCCACCTGTGTTTAAGTCCAGTAGGCATGCACCCATTCACTCAGTCAACAAATATTTAAGCACGTGGCATGTGACAGACACTGTGAGACAACAGAGACACAAGCCTTGCCCTCAGAAGTATACAGAAGGCTGGACAGACACAGAAGAATCACACAACCAGATATTTAACTGCAACTGGGCTAGGAGCTACAAAGAAGGACAGGTTATTAGGAGCGAGCGGACAGACACCATCTCCCTGACGAGGTGCCAACCCCACCATGTAAGACAGATAATTGCTCACAGAAAATACACTTGCTCATCTTCATCATATACTCCTCCATCACCTGTTGATCCTGGGTCCAGAAAACACTTGCTACCCCCCTGATATTGCCAGCCTGAAAGGCAAGGGGATTAAGAGTGCCAAAATTATAGCAAATCTAAAAATCTTTGAAACATAAAGGAAAAAGAGATTTCATTCACTCGATTCTGAAAGTCACAAATTTTGTACAGTGCATTCAAGGAAAAGCCTATTCCTTTTACTAATAATGTTCCTGAAGATGGTTTTTTCTGGCTCATCCTGTTCTGTTTTTTTTTTCAACCTTGTCCCAGATTCACCCTGTATCTGTTTCGTTTTGGACAAGAGAGGCCCCTGAATCTCCAGCAGCCTGTTTGATCCACCGTTGTTTGCTGATTGCCTTTCACTGCAATGTCACATGTAGGAATGGGCACCTTGCCTTGTGCCGTTTATTCCAGCTGAAGAGCTCTAATCTCTTAAGTGCTTTATCAAGCTTGCCTGAATAACAAACCATCAAAAGATGCAAATGATAATAGTGTGTCCTGGAAGACACCAACAGGATCCAGCCTTAACAAAGTGACAAAGTCTAAACGACATTCCTTGAACCAAAAAAGGGGAGAAAAGATCCCTCTAAAAATGATCACTGCAGCCCCCCTATCCTCAAACTGTGTCTTAAAATCAAAATCAAATGTGCTCCACTTTTAGCCATTTCTGGTGGGCAATGAGTGGCCGTGTGAGGGAGGCACTGGCATCACAGTGACCGCTCCAGAGACCTCAGCCCCCCAGCCCTGCCACTGACCGGCTGTGCGATCTCCAGCCAGTCACCCTCTAAGTCAAAGTGTGAAATTAAGAGATCAGACCAGATGACCTCACAAGCTCCTTCCCACTCTGAAATCCCATGCCTTCTCATCTGGTATTTACCACATTCAGTCATTTATCTACATTGAACTTTTCCAAAATGTATTCTTGGTGACAGATGCCTTCTGGATGAGCCTTTTAGTTCCAAGAGCCTCCCTGTTTGATCTGATCTTTAAAACCTATTGTACAGTCACAGCAAGCAAGGTGCCAAGACAGACCCTGGAGTGAGGGGAGGCATGGGCATAAAAGTGAGCCAGACTTTATCAGAGATATGGTGGAGGATGGAGGGGAACATGAAACTGAACTGGGCCCTAGAGAACGGATGGGGATGGAGCGAGGGACCCACTTCAAAAAGGGATGGGTGCGTTCTGGAAAGACTAGAGCGACATAAGAGAGAGAAGCTGGCTGCAAGTAGGGAACTTGTGGACGGGGCAGGGAAGTGGGAAGAGACGTGAGCAGAAACCAAGGCCATGTGATGTCAGTGGCCACACCGTGAACTACGACATTCCTGTTTGCAATTAGAGACTCCTTGAAGGAAGGAGGCTCAAAGACCATCCAATCTAAACTTTCACCCTTTCGAATTTACTCAAGGGGAGAGGAATCGGCTTGAAGAATTCCAGCGACAGGCACTCTCCGCTGCTGGCGGGAGTTTTAGTTGTTAGACGCCCTTTTATAACAGGGCTGGCCGGGACCGCGAGTACATCATTTTTGACAACCAAATGCTTCGGGGTTTTTTCTAAGAGACTAAAATTGTTTTCAGTATAAGGCATGAACTTGACTCACAAAAACCCGACGGTAAGGGGTTTGTTAAGCTGTGTTTAGACCTTGTACCAATTCAAAACTTTTAATGTCATTATCATTAGTCAGAGATCAAAGTTTCTGGAAATTGTAATCAAGGAATTAAACTGTGTGTGAGATTATGAGGACAGGTGTGACTAGACAAATGCCACTTTCTATAGCCTTATACCCTTCTTTTTCATCGCCAGAAGTACAGTTAATACTATCTGTGCTGAACTTCACCCTATAGGTAACTCCTGGTTTTAATTTTTATGAAATTCTGGATTTTTCATGTGCCTCCTATGATGTCTGTCTTACAAATGTGTCCTTTCTTGGCTTTTTCACTGACACCAGTCAAAACCCAAGACATTTGCTGAGAACGGTGCTTCGCATAACGTTACAGAAAAGAAAATATTTAATAAAAGGCATTCTGATAATCATAGCACTTAATGCATATTCACATGGGAAAAATCCTGAGTTTTCATTAATCCTTCTCTTTAAAATAAATCTAATCTCACTCCAAGTTTTCCATGCTCCTAAAATTTGAAGATAAGACTATCTCTGTTTTATATATAAAAAAGTAATGCATCATAAGTCATCAATTCACTGTAAAATGATTATGAATCAATAAAAAATGTAAAAAAAAAAAAAGTCATCAATTCATTACTCTGTGACGTCTAAACCAGGCACTGGAATCTTACTTTTGCCTCCATTTATAACACATTTTTCTTGCTAGCAATGGTGAGTCAGTGTTATGATACGTCCCATAGTTTGCTAACATTAAAACGGCTTAATCAGTCTTCCCCAACTTCACCAAGTTGAAAAGTACTGCTATGTGGGAACATTTTTCCCTTCAATCCAGTGAGAATAAACCTAAAAATGAAATGTGGATGTAAGTTTTTACCTTTGGCTACCATCTCTAGCCTCTGTCCTTAGAACAGATTCCTTCCAAGTGCTCCTTTGTCTGGAATATCTGCTTTACTTGCAAACCTCCAACTTTTCTGGGGGGAAGGGTATAGCTCAAGTGGTAGAGCGCATGCTCAGCACCCACGAGGTCCCGGGTTCAATCCCTGGTCCCTCCTCCAAGCAGAAACCAATGAAGAAACCTAATTACCTCCCCCTCAGCAAACAAACCTCCAACTTTTCTGCAGCACAATGGTACATCTGCTTTGTATGCCATGTTTAAGCACCACGTAAAACAGAAGTCTTATCAGCATCACAGCATCCGTTGCCAACTAAATATTTATGTTTATTTTGGTAGCAACTGTCCTATTCTGCTGTAGCATTAGCAGTTTGGAAGCTGATTAACTTGTGCACATTTTCACTAATTCCAGGAAGCCTTACTCAGTAGCGCATATGCTCCACTGGAAGCCAGGTAGTACCCAGCTATGTTTAGGTCTTCTTCAAGTGAACAGGTTCTTAATACAGCCAGGTGAACACATGTGAGTTCAGATTCTTCTCTTTAAGCTGTAAAATCCAAGCCGGTCGGAGAACTCCTTCTTACCTGGACGCTGGTGAGAGTTGTGTACTGGTACGCTCTGACAATCAGGTAATTCGCTTCCACGTCTGCTAGTCCAAGCAGAATGTACTTCCACCACTTCTTTTTCAAGATGGATAAAAGGTTATCACTCCCTGGTTGAAAGAAATCTGGGTTAGTACATGTGACTTGAAAATGGTAACATGCATATTAATTTAGAGGTCAAGATTCAAAGGACGGATTTACTATGTATTTTGAATGTGGCCCCCTCCTAGTTTTCATTACTCATAATTCATTCATAACCCAAATGCCTGCAACAGCCCAGCAGACTCATATTTTTTTTTTTTGAGTATGTGGCCCAAGCTAAGGTGTCATCATAGACTAAGTGGTCAATGAAAACACCAAAGAAACAAGGAAGTAAGAGAAAAGTGGTTAAATTCCCTTTCCCATTGCAACAGAAATATAACATCCAGATGGTCCTTGGAAAGGAAACGTTTTCTTATAACTTCATTGGTTATTTCACCTCCCTGCATTCATGGGCTTCTTCAAAGAAAACTCTGCATGTAATCATTCCTTTGGAAAATGTGTGCTTTCATGAGAAAATTAAGTGAGACGTTTGGAAAAAAGACTTGGTGAAACCATTGAAGAAACACCTTTTATCCCCTAAATTCTATTATTCAAGTTAACTGTGATTCATTTCTTTGGAGACTCTAGCATCACAAGGAGATATAGAGTTGGCACATATAAGGCTTTATGGGTAAGTTAACTTGCAAGGAAATAAAAGTAATAAGAATCATAGCTAAATAATTACCATTAAATCTCCACATCAACAAGAGAAAGGACAAAAACCACATGATCATCTCAATAGATGCAGAAAAAGCATTTGATAAAATTCAACACCCATTTATGATAAAAACTCTCATCAAAGTGGGTATAGAGGGAACATATCTCAACATAATAAGAGCTATATATAACAGACCTACAGCCAGCATAGTACTCAACGGTGAAAAACTCAAAAGCTTCCCACTAAAATCTGGGACAAAACAAGGATGCCCACTATCACCACTCCTATTCAACAGAGTCTTGGAAGTCCTAGCCACAGCAATCAGGCAAGAGAGAGAAATAAAAGGGATCCAAATTGGAAAAGAGGTAAAAGTGTCACTATATGCAGATGACATGTTACTATATATAGAAAACCCTAAAAGGTCCACACAAAAACTACTAGAGCTGATTGAAGAATTCAGCAAGGTAGCAGGTTACAAGATTAACGTTCAAAAATCAGTTGCATTTCTTTAGGCTAACAATCAATCAAAAGAAAAATAAAGAAACAATCCCCTTTAAAATAGCACCCAAAGTAATAAAATACCTAGGAAT